AGGCAGAGGGGATATCGCGGGGGGTCTCCCTACCTCGCCTGCAACTCCAGCGAACGCTGCTTCCCCGACACCAGAAAGGTCCGGGGCAGGTTGATGCCACTCGACTCCTTCACCTGCGGGACAGAGACGCTGGGACGGGAGCGGCCGGGTCAGAAACCCCCCACCGACCCCCCCGATCCGGGGAGCAGGATACCGGGGCAGTGGGGCCCAGGGAAGGGGGGATACTGGGGGGCAGAGGGGCCCAGGGGAGGGGGGGATGCCGGGGCAGAGGGGCCTGGGGCAGGGGGGGATAGAGACGCCCAGGGGCCTGGGGGCAGGGGGATGCCGGGGCAGAGGGGCCCAGGGCTCTGGGGGCAGGGGGGGATGCCGGGGCAGAGGGGCCCAGGGACCCGGGGGAGGATGCCGGGGCAGAGGGGCCCAGGGCTCTGGGGGCAGGGGGGGATGCCGGGGCAGAGGGGCCCAGGGACCCGGGGGGGGATGCCGGGGCAGAGGGGCCCAGGGCTCTGGGGCCGTGCTCCCCACGAACCTCCATCCCCTCCACGTCGATCCGGGCCCGGACCCCGAACTTCTGGCCGAGGAGGCGCAGTTTCGGGACGCAGCACAAGAGCCGGTCGTTGAACTGGGGAGAAGGGGGTAGAGAGGGAGTAAGAGGTCACCCAGCCCCCCAACCACCATGGGGTCAGAGGTCAGCCAGCCCCCCCTAACCACCATGGGGTCAGAGGCCCCCTCCCAGCCCCGGGCAGCCTGCCCAGGGGTCTCTCACCAGGATCAGGTACCGGTCCTGTGTGGTCCCGTTCTTGGCCGACAGCTTGAGGATGTGGCCTTCCTTAATGAGCTCGTTAGTGGGGCTAACGATGTCCTCCTCCCCGCCCAGCAGCTCGTACACCTTCAGCAAGGAGTGCATCCGTTCCTGGGGGCGAGAACAGGGGTCGGTCCTGACCCACAGCCCACCAGCCGCCCTGCCCCAGCTGGCATCTCGGGGCCAGGAGAGCCTCCTGTGCGGCATTATGTTCTCACGAGCCGTCCCCCTGCAGCGTCGTGTGTGGCTGTTCCCAGCCGCCCCGCCCCAGAGGTGGCTGCATCTCACGAGCCGAGCCGTCCCCCTGCAGCCTTGTGTGTGGCTGTTCCCAGCCGCCCCGCCCCAGAGGTGGCTGCATCTCAGTGCTGGACAAGCCGTCCCCGTGGTACCCAGTCATCTCCCTACGCAGCCCTGCCCCGTTCCCCGCAGCACAGTGCCCCCTAGCGCCCGGGCCGGGACTCACACTCGGACCCCATCATACCATTTTGCAGATGGCGGCGTTGGAATGCTCCGCTGCTGTCGCGATCAGCTGCAGGGACTCTGCGATCGGGGCAGAGAGACGGGGTGAGTCCAGGAGAGAGGCCCCCACCCAGACACCCCCAGAGCCTCCTGCCCAGCCCCCCGAAACACCCCCAGAGCCCCCCACCCAGCCTGCCCCCCCAGACACCCCCAGAGCCCCCCACCCAGCCTGCCCCCCCAGAGTCCCCCATCCATCCCCCCAGATACCCCCGCCCAGACACCCCCAGAGCCTCCTGCCCAGCCTGCCCCCCCAGAGTCCCCCATCCATCCCCCCAGATACCCCCGCCCAGACACCCCCAGAGCCTCCTGCCCAGCCTGCCCCCCCAGAGT